TACGTAACAAATGATATACAAAATGTACCGTGTCAAATATAATGTAAAACATATGATTTATAATATATGTTGCATTACATCGTACTTAATATAGTTCCAAATAAATCGGTTTTAAATTTGAATGAATGGGTACATAACATTAATAATAATCGGACCCTGGCCTCGTCAGCTGCCACAATCTCACAGCGATTACTGGAAGGCGGCTGCTGCCTGCTCGTGAAGCAAGCGCCAGCACACGCTGGTCGTCGAGACGTCCTGTGTGTAAGTCCGGTGACGTCGTCATCTGCCCCCGCGCGCAGGGACGAGTCGTAGAAGAGGGAGTGAGAGGGAGAAGAGGGAGTGAGAGGGAGAAGAGGGAGTGAGGGGGAGAAAGAGGGAGTGAGGGGGAGAAAGAGGGAGTGAGGGGGAGAAAGAGGGAGTGAGAGGGAGAAAGAGGGAGTGAGAGAGAGAAAGAGGGAGTTTAGAGAAAGTAACTATTTAGAGTTTCGGTGCTACAATGGCTTAGGCTATTAGTCCTGTAAGTGTAGTGCAGATTGTATACTGGAAGGTGGGGATGTCCCCTCCGTAGGAATGTGAGATCCGGAGCAGATCTACACGTTAGCTTGCAGGATTTAACCCCTTTTCTGGGATCTTCCCCAGAAAGACACAATCTCAGATGATTTGTTAAAATGGGCGTATTTCAATTTCATGTTACAAACTTAATATTACATATGTTATATTACATTAAGATGTTACAAGAAATTTGTGAAGAATTCTGGAACTTATAAGAAATTGTGGACTAAGTAGAAATTGTACAAAATGTACGTTCAATGTAATAGACAAAGTGCGAGCAAAAACGTTGAAAACAGTCGAGTCCTATACAATTTTGACACGATATCCCCGAAAAAACTCTAAAAAGGCTTCGAAAAATTCAAAATCGGCCAAAAAACTAAACATTTCGAGAAAAGTAGGAAAATGCGGTAAAAACGGAATCGATCCCTTCTACAACCCTCCAACAACATATTTCAAAATAAATTTAAAACTGTTAGAAATTGTCACGTCATCTGTCAAGAGTTTGCGCGTGCGCACTGTCCCTCGAGAGAGGGAGAGAAAGAAAGTGAGAGGGGGGAGAGAGAAGAAATGAGAGACAAGAAAGAACGAAGGAGAGGGAAGGAGAGAGAAAGAGAGGGATGGGAAAGAGAGAAAAGAAAGATGAGAGGGGGAGGAAGAGAGAAAAGAGGGAGAGAGGGTGAGACGGAGGGTGAGGTAGGGAAAGAGAGAGAGAAGGAGAGAAAGAGGGAATTGAAGAAGAAATAAATACTTTGCCAAGAGCAAATACCAAATAGATTTGCTATTTTTAAATGTATTCAAAATTATGGAAGAAAATTAAGTAAAGCCAATTTTGAAGAGAGAACTGAATTGTTTAGATTGGAATTAGAATTTCTAGAGTAATAATATCTGACAAAGTGTGAAACATTACTGTAATTCGCATATTGCTTTTTGTTGTTGACTCATTCCCCCCTTCAACTACGCACTTTCGTGTAAACAAGACTTAACCTCCCACTATCACACTTGGATAACAAACGTGTTTGTGAAGTTTATTACCAAGATATTTTAAGACAAAAAAGGTTAAGTGATAACTTCATAAATCGGAATGTTACATGACATATACCAGGTCAGATAAAAATGAAAATATTTATCTTGATTAGGCGATGTCTAACCTTAAGTACTTTTCTAGTCAAGACTTTTTACCGGACATGTAACTTTGTTCATTAAATATCATAATTATCAAATTCGATATTCAGTTGATGAAAGAATATTGTCAGTGAACAGCTGAATTAAAATCACTTACATAATGTACAAATAAAATACGTATCGAAATAATTAATTATTACGGGCTGAGTAAGTAGTCATAGTAGTATTGAATGAACAACAAGGGTGTATAGCAATATATTTATGTAGTAAACTCGTAATCTTCATCGACAAACAGACAGTCCTTATAGTCGTACGTTAACGTGAGTAACAAGAGAAGAATTCTGCCCTGACGTAAACTATGCCTTTAGTAACCCGCGACAATCTCCTGTACATCCTCAAGCGCCGAGGTCTACGAGTAGGTCTCCTTTGTGCGTCACCGGGGGGGGGGGCGGTGATGCGAGACGAGAAAGTTGCCGCTCGCCAGAATGCGACGTTCCGCAAACCACTTGCTGTCCGCTCACCCCCGTCGGAATCCGTTCTCCGGCTGCACACAATGCAGATGACCAGTTGCTTGTTATTCCGTGCGGGTAGTGATTGATCTATGGTAGTTCCTGATGCTGGAGTTGAAGTTAATGTATCGCCTATGTGGCAACAACCGTTGCCTTTGCGGCTTCGTTGACCGAGTGGTTCTGAGGTTCGAGTCCCGACGGTCGCGCATTTTCTGTAGCAGGTATAGACTTGGTTCGAATTGAATATTTGGTTGTGAATGTGAATTCTAGGGCCCGCAATCCTCTCATCGAAAGATTCCCGTGGTTTCTTCGAACAATACCAGTCCGAACGCCGGAGCAATACCGTAATAAAAGGACCACGGAACGCGACCGATCATTCCTTCCTCTTCCTTGTCCTATCCCCACCCCTTACGTCCACACATACTTACCTGCACTACACTCCCACACATGTCGGGATTACAATCGGGAGCATCGAGCTTGTGCTGGTTGGGCGGTGATTGGCTTGTGATACGTGGTGAAGAATATCCGACAGCCGAGTTGTAGGTCGGCGCAGGATCTCAGGTTCCAGCAGGGAAGAAATCTTCACTTTTAAGAATATAACATGCACTTCACTTACGGGAACAATGACATAAGTAGATGATGCGCCAGAAAACAATACTCACCGACTCAATCACTCTTGAAGGTAATACCAAACGATAAGTTCACACACGAAAAATGAAATGAGTCGCATTTAGGATCACGACTACATGGATTTATATAGGTATTATAATATATATTTATATTAGGTATTATAACAGCAGCTAAAATGCGTGTTCGCACTGAGAAGTACTTATTAGGCAAAGATAGTAAATTCGTTGTTTCCTATACAGTCGCCTGCAGACTACACTATATACAGCGTATACAGTATTCAAACATTTCTCTTTAGATAATAAAATTGCAAATTGTGAATTACGAAAATTAAACCTATTAAACTGAAGGTACATAAATTAAATTATAAATATGAAAACAGTACGAATTCAAGACGATCAAACGGCCACACCATGAGGGGGAACAGGCAAAGTACGATCAACGTTTCGGCCATTTCAGTTTCGTATTAATAGGGAGTTTTTGCACAATCGAACATTAAAGCAATGGAAAGCAATATTGAGCATCTGCGCATGCGCAGTTCAAGTTTCGCATCACGTGTGTGTATCTGAGCTGAGCTGAGCTGAGCATGCTCAGAAGATCGAGATGACAGCCGATTGCTGCCCGCTAAGACGAGCAAAATCTCCCTATTAAAAAAGGGTTTCCCCTCAACTGGAAGGAAATCGGACTGAAACAATAGAAAGAAGGGAAAATGTTAAGTTAAGTTTAAGCACTCCAACTTCATAAAGAAGCAACTGTTTTTATATAAATTAAGAAACAGGCATATCATTATGTAAAAGAGTGTACGAGTAGATGTGCTGGCCTGTACTCTGTGTACGTATTCTGTCTTCTAGTTCTACTCGGGGTACATATTCCGCGTTTTGTTCTAGAATTGGAAATATATATTCAAAATGTTCCATAGATTCCAAAAGATGAATGTCAAGGTGCGCTTGCAGTGAGGTGTGTTTTGAAACAAACAGGATGATCACATCACTTCCCTCTTCAGAATTTGATTTCTGTGTCTCCTTTTTGTATTTGTGCGACTCGATGCATGGTCTCGTGCGTCGGCGCGTCTAAGTTTCATTTCTTCTTTTTCTTCTTCTTTTTCTTCTTCTTTTTCTTCTTCTTTTTCTTCTTCTTCTTCTTCTTCTTCTTCTTCTTTTTCTTCTTCTTTTTCTTCTTCTTCTTCTTCTTTTTCTTCTTCTTTTTCTTCTTCTTCTTCTTCTTTTTCTTTTTCTTCTTCTTCTTCTTCTTTTTCTTTTTCTTCTTCTTCTTCTTCTTCTTTTTCTTTTTCTTCTTCTTCTTCTTCTTCTTCTTTTTCTTCTTCTTCTTTTTCTTCTTCTTTTTCTTCTTCTCGTCTTTTCTCAGCTGAGCGATACACAGGGTGGGAGGTGACGTATCTGCATAGAACAGTACTTCAACCTTTTGCCTCCAAGCCCTCACGAGTTGTGTTCGTTCCATTTGACCGCCACGGCGAGGTTAACTGAACAGCGATTTTCCTTGTGCCTTCAGATCCAACACGTTACGTGTTCCTGCTGGACAGTACGCTGGGGAGCACGTGATCGCACCTTCACTGTAAAGTTCTTGAATTTTTGGGCCTCCAAAGGGCTAATTAGTTGTGAGTGTTGCGGCGCGACGCATGATGGTGCATCTGCACAGTAATGTAATTGAGTTTGTGCCTCGAAGGGCTAAAGAGTTGTGTGCATGCGTATGTTGGAGCTGAACGGCGAGGTGGGACGCACGACAGCGCATCTGCACAGAAAAGTAATTGAATGTTTGTGCTTGGCGGGGCGGCGCAAGTTAGCGCATCTGCACAGTAAGTAATGTGAATTGTGTGTCTCCAAGTAACGATGCGAGCTGATTAGCAAGTGAGCGGCGCACTGGAGGTGCACGATAGCTCATCTGCACAGTAATGTTACTGCAGTGCGTCCGAGTGCTAATGAGTGTGTGCTTGACGTGATTTAGCTGAGCGCTGCGGTGTACGAAAATTCATCTCTACAGTGAATTCATGTTTTTGTGCCACCATGTGCTAGTCAGTGCGTGCATCTGACTGGCGCGGCTTACAATAGTTCATCTGTACAGTAAAGCAATGTTGCTTCTGCGCGTCCCAGTGCTAATGGGCGCGTGCTTGGCGTGTTGCAGCTGAGCGGCGCGGTGCACGGAAAACCATTTGTACAGAGAATTAATTTTTTTATGCCTACATTTGCTAATAAGTGTGTGCATCTGAGTGGCAACGCTTACAATAGTTCATCTGCACAGTAAATCAATTTTCCTTGTGCGCGTCCAAGTGCCAATGGCGTGTGCGTGGCGTATTGCAGCTGAACGGCGCGGCTTACAATAGTTCACCTGCAGAGTAAAGCAATGTTCCTTCTGCGCGTCCCAGTGCTAATGTGCGCGTGCGTGGCGTGTTGCAGCTGAGCGGCGCGGCGGGGCGCGCGGTGGCGGAGGTGGCGCGGCCGCTGCTGCGCGAGTTCGGGCTGCTGGGCGACGCGGGCGAGGCGGGCGGGGCGGCGCTGCGCCTGGCCGGGTCGCGCGCGCGCGTGGACCCGTCCGCCGACGCCGCGCTGCTCGAGGGCGAGGTGCTGCTGGTTGAGGACGCGCGGCCCCCGCACGACCCCAGAGCAGGTGAGGATACCGGCCCACTCCGCCCTTATACCCACTCAATACCCATTGAAATGTGTGTATGCGTATGTATATGTGTATATGAGTATATCTGAATATGTGTGTATAAGTATGTATGCATGTGTGTGTGTGTGTGTGTGTGTGCGTGTGAGTATATACGTATTTGTGCGTGGTGCGTGCATGTTTGCGTGTGTGCACAGAGAGTGTGAGTTTCACATGTGTACGCGTGAAATGGAGGCTTTCTCGCTATGCTGGGGTATACAGGGTTCTAGGTAATACATTATATTTAATTTACATTTGTATAGTGTAATTAATTGGCTACCACCTGGCAAAGACGCCAATTGTGGCCAAAATAAATATATTATTATATTATTATAAATACATATTACTTAAAGGTGGCACCATGTGCATTGCAAAGTTTTGAGGGAAAACATTTTTAATAATTTTATTGAAATGATAAAATGGTGTAATGAAAATATTTAAAAAAAACAACAATTCAGACAAATACGGGTTCAATAAACACGATTCAAGTTCAAAATCAATTTATTTAAATATGATTAATTATGTATTTAATACACATTTACTACGTATTAACTACACTTTACTATACTACACTACACTTTAAAAATTAAATATACGAATAATATTGAGCACCGTTAGTATTTGGTTCAGACTTACTGTTTTCGTGATCGCAACTTCGATGTTATTTGATGTAATCAGTCGAAGCGAAGTGTATAGTTCCAAATGATATCCATAGATCGCACTTCAAGTATTATCTTCTAGGAACGGCGTAGAGCACATCTCGTCGATTAACTTTACAAAAAAACGCCTCCACATGTCCTATTTAATTCAAATCACTCCTTAAATACTAATAAGAACGAAGTGTGAAAATTTCAATGAAATCGGTCGAGTACTTTTTGCGACTATATGCGGCATTCCCGCATACATACGCGCATTCCCTTTTATTTACGTATAGATTAAAAGTGCAGTTATTTAGAATAAAAAATTTGCATTTTACGAGTGGGAATTGCGCAGAGCCTCAAAGGCCCTGCATGTGCTTTCATGTAAGGTAAGTGAAGATAATATGGCCACGTTAAGCGTCTCAAATTTTGCTGTTTATATATTTTAACATTTCGCCAAATTAACAGCATAATGATGAAACTTATCACTTTTGCTTCAAGTTCAAATAGCTATATCACAAAAACAGTGATTCAGGAATATTTTGTTAATTTACAAAAGTTGAAGGTAATATGCCCAGATGCAGGTTCTACGGCCATTACCAAATTAACTTGTTTCTTGTAGCATGACCATGGAACTACTGCTAGCTATACTAATATATAATATAAATTACACTGTTACATGCTAATCTTACAAAAATTCGGCCTGGCATAAATCCTTTCTTAAAACAATAGCGCGGAGTTTATAAAATGTTAATAAGCAGTTGCAAGGACAGAGCGCCTTCAGCGCGTTCTTGACAATAAAGGTTCCAGAGGGCGAATGCGCGAATCAACAGGTCTGGTAGGGTTAACGCACTTCTTACACTCCCCCAGACTGCATGCTAACACAATCAATCGGAAATAGTTTCAGCTAACATAGCCGCTACTTGGCCATATTTGCATCACTTACCTTAGTTTCTCTGATCCATGCATCCGAGGGTAAACGTAACGTAAGCAAACGGACAAACGAAAAACCTGTCTTAACGGCCGGCAGCCGTTAAAAAACTTAACAGTCCGCCGGCTGTTAAAATCAATTAAACAAATGAGTTGAAGTTAAAGATGACTTATGAGTACTCTTATTTCAAGAAAAGGTAATAATGACCGAAAACGTAGCATCTTAAGCGGGTACTATTTTGTACGAATTTCGCCGTAAGACGTACAAACTGGTTCTCGGGAAAGAAACATAGAAATCCTAGGTTTGCATTCCGCGATTGAGCAGAAATTGAACCGTCTCTTTTCCTATTTTCAAAAATTGAACCATTTCATGTCCCTGTTGAAAGAGCTGATAGACAATACGGGAAAGTCTCGGCGGTAGATAATGCCAAAAAATGGCGTGACATATTTCCTACAGGTCTCCCAAACCCATGGTTGTTAGCCTGGGACGATATAGCGTGGCCATAGTTGACTAGGCTGAAGTCCGAGATACATGCCTAAGATTTAATTATATATAACATGACAACATTGATTATTTCAGTCCCTTATGTGTACGTCCAATATGAGTCAATGAGGATGAACTGTAAGCAAAGTACTTTTCATTTTATGATTTAAGTTACAAATTTTCTGAAAACACATTGCTTGAAACTTCGTTTTAAGAATCCTCCTCCTTATGATCATCATCATGAGAATCATTTATGATTGGCATCATTCTCTCTAGAAACGTATCCTATTCCATATAGATGTACCACAGGCACCTTCGCGAACGTTTCTTATCATTTGTAAATGGTGAATTGCAATGTTCTTGCCCGCAATTTAATTTATGGTAATGTATGCATTACAGTGATCATATTTTAATAAATTAAAAGAGAAAAAATGCCTTTCCATTCATCTCGTTCAGAAATCAAGGAAGTGCAAATGAACCTCTTAGCAAACGCACACATACACCGCCTACAACATGCTGAATTTAATTAATCTGTAGTTCACTTTAACAGCGTTTTACCCAGCAACTTCCACACAATAATTTTATAAAATCTACGCCATCAGAAAAAATACGAATACCGCACTTGGTATAAAATCTTCTACACTTCATGGACTGATGTCAAATGATTAAAAAACAATAAGAAATGTGAATCTAAAGTAGTGTTGAAGCCATATTCCAACTAGTTTTTCAAAGCATTTTTATGTAAGAAATAGACCCAGTGTTCGTTTGTATACATGTGTAATTTAAACACAATAGCAAAATTTATATTGGAAAATTTTAATTTCAGAATGAGAGAGTTTCGTAGGAGTGAATTACTACGTAAGGGTATTAAGCACGCGTTTAGGGTCTCTGCTAGATAGCCCTCCTTCTCCCAGAAAGTTTTACGCGCAATTTTGTATTCGTTTGTAAATATGAAACGTATTAATATATTTTCGACTGCTAACAGTAAAAGCTATAATTTTCGGGTATTCATAGGGTAATAAAACTTCAATTTTTAGCGATAGTGCTGAAAGTGAGACGATTCCCAAATGTCCCCTTAAAACTGAACTGCAGTAAAGAAAACCAAAAGAATTCGCCTGACTACATCAGCAATTGCAACGTAGTATAGAATTAAGTTATTTGTATTATTGAATTAAAATAAAATGAAAATCAGTAAGGCTGTCAAAACATGGTGGACCACACGTGATAAAAGCTATTTTATTATGCTCATAGCATTCAGCCACTCGGCATCTATCGGCCTTGCTTCGCCATCTTTTCTACTTGCAAAATAATATGCCTTTTTACCAGTCTTATCGTAAATAACAATTTAATGCAAAGGTTACTGTGTATTTTCGTATTCGTTTTCAACATAAATGTTCAATTTTAATATTAGCCGGGGACTCCGCGATTGGTAGTACTTAGGGACCCTTAATATAATAATCAGACCAATCTCCGTTGAAGTATCATAGCTTTTGTAAGACCAATAATATAATACATGCATCATAACAAAAATATTGCAAACGATATATTGCAGTAGCCAATTTAATAAATATTTATACCACATAGCTTAACATATTGAATGTGTTTTTGTCGGAGACGTTACTGCCTAACAATTTAGCGCACTCGTAAATTTTCGGACCGCGCCCCAGTCAAGAATTCCTCCGTTAAACTCCGCTTATAAATACGCGCTGATGTCGAACGCCGTGGAGCGTCGTACCTGTCCCAGCCCGTGACCACGTGACTAGTGCGGGGCGTCTCCGCTGCGCAGCGCTGCGGGCGCCCGGGAATCCCTTGGCGCCGAGCCAGGCGAGCAGCCTTGGATTCCACCGTTGCTTGTGCTCGCACCCCTCCCTCTCCCCTCCTCTCTCTCTTTCTCTCACCACTCTCACCTCTACTGTGTCCGTTTCTCTCTTCTCTAGTTGGCTTCACACTTTGCTGACGGGCGCGGCTCGCAGCGGTTTATTGTCATAGGACAGGGGTGTCCAACACACCTGAAATGGCACGCGATGGGAATTTGTTTATTCCGCCAAACGTTGATTGTAATGATGTGAGGCGCACTTGAAAGAGAGTGACCGGTTGCGGTAGCTCAGCGGCAACACCATTCCCTCTGTAGCGTCGTTCTCCTGGGGTCCTAGGCTTCGAATCCCGAAGGCGGAGGATTAGTGGATTGTTTGAGTGTTAGTTATTCCGGGCGCATCAACAACGCAGGTCATGTGTCCCTTAAGTGTAGGCCATGTTTTGCTGGGTAGATGGCGGTGATCTTCCCCTGCTGTATGGCAAGATCTGGCGCCGACATACCGTCGGCTAGAGGGGGTTTCCCCAACCAGGTATCTCCCACCACAAACAAGCGCTAAGCTTCCGATCGGTCTCCCAACATGTGTAGTAGTGTAGTGCAAGTTAGTGTGTGTAGTACGACAAGCAGGAGGAAGGAAAGATCGCGCGCGGACAGTGGCCCGTTTGTTAGGGTACTGCTCCGGCATTCGCCTGGTGTTGATCGGAGAAATCACGGAAAACTACCGATCAGAGCAGCCGGCCGCTAAAATTCTCCCCAGTCAACGACTAAGTTCGACATAGCTGACAAGCTAGTGTCTAACATCCTGCCACCGTCGGGACTCGAAGTTAGGATCTCCCGGTCTGAGGGGCTGCAGTGACATCTCTCCCGGTTGGATTCGTCGAATTTAATCATGCAGTCTGGAGAATTCTGGCGGCCGGCTCCTCTGGACGGCTCTGGTATTTCCGTTGTCTATTGGATCAATACTAGGCGAATGCCGGAGCAGTTCACTGATAAGAGGGCCACGCGTGGCGCGCGATCTTTCCGTCCTCTTCCTTGTTCTCTCCTCACCCCAAACAGAAT